CGCCAACGCGTTGGCGGCTGTAGCGTTATTCGTGCCAGCTGGCCCAGGCTTCTCGGTCTCAATGAGACTGGCCTTGAGCAAAGACTTCATACGAGGAGCGTCTTGCATGTTGCGCCTGGTGTTCTCGCACTTTTGCAGACTAGCGAGCGGGTGGTACGACCGCAGGACCGTCTTCATTTCCGGGTAGACTGTACACAGGCCAGACGAGAGAGAGACATGAGCTTGGATCAAGGGTCTGTTGTGCCAGATGCGTGATCATGCCTACTCACAAGCCAAAGTGGTGTTGATTCGACCAACGTTGACCAGCAGATTGACCTTCCCGAAATCCTCCGCGTACTCCTCCTCGGCGAGAAGCTTATCGCGCATGGTCTTGGTGCACCTCGAAGAGGAAAGCAGAGCCTCTAAATAGAGTTCCTTGAACGTGAGAAGCTTGTCACCAGGACAAGGTAATCCTCTTTTGCGTCTCTCCTCATCGCCTCCTTCGCTAGCCTCTTGCCATGCTCGCAATCGAGTCAGGTACGCCTCGTGCTCCTCTGCACTCTCATCTGAAGGGCGCGCACACGTGGGAGCCATACCGTATGGGAACATGGGCGTCACAAAGGGTCGCTCCTGCCCTTCCAAATCCAGCGTGCCCGGTCTTGGGTTCGTAAAGACGCGCTGCGTGTCACCAAAGATATGGCATAGCACAGCATGTTGGAGATCCGCTCGTGTCAAAGGCTCGCCGTCGTAGCGTTTGACTGGCAAGTTGCGAGGCACAGGTCCGCCGCTGTGTAGGCAGTGCCGGCAGGAGCAGATTCAGTCACATTTGCAGACGAGCATCGCACGACTTACCCAAGAGGACGTGTTGCACTCACTTCTTTCCGAACACGCTGTTCATGTAGCCGGGCCAGTAAGGAGCAGAGCCTGGAGCGACCTTGTCCTCATTCGGATCGCGACTACTGTGTACTACTGGTGTTGCGCCTTTGACTTCTGAAGTCGCTCCTTCAGCTGTGTCCGCCACGCCGGAGCCCGCCTCGCTTGATGCTGAGCCACGAGCTCTTGCTGAGAGTGGTCCGGCGTCTGGCTGATCCTCATCACCTCTCGAGCGCTTGACCCCACGCTGCGTGTGAACGTGGGTCGCATCAGCGTCATTCGAGTGATCAACATCATCTGTGGGTGAGGCTGCTCTCGCGTCGCCACGTCGAGAGCTTGAATGGTCGGGCTCGGCGTTATCTCGCGTTGACATGATTTCAGAGGTCATAGAGGTGGAACTTGCAGCCATGCGAGGCACGATCCGGTCTTGTGCAACGCTGCCGGCGATTGGGGATAAGATCGAAGAGGTTGCAGTAAGTAGTAGCGCGTG